CTTTAGAGCTAGACGACTCAGAAACCTAACCTGTAACAATGAGAACGTGTGGTGTGTGTTATACAAGTGTCCTATAACGCTACAATTATAGAATGTTCTTAAAAAAAAAGTGTGTGTGAGATTACTGGTAGTTAACTAAACACATATATCACTTGTTAATAGCAATGCTGACCCTAATCCAAACCTTAAACCAAGTCTTACCATTGCCCTAACCCTAATTTCCGACCATAAAACTAAACCTAAAAATTCATTACTTAACATTATTAACAAATAACAACCTAACACCTATTTTGGGGAGAGTTTAGCATTAGACACCGGCAACAACAGTACTCATCTTTTCTACATTATCTTTTTCAACACACAAGCCATTTCGATTCTCTCATAATTATTTGGATGCGATTTAATCGTGAAATACTAAATAAAATCAAACAATATAAGAGGTATATTTCTTTAAAAAAAACATGTTAAATACTTATACAGATATCTAGATCAATACCTATAGCCTACTTATATATACATATATATATATATATATATATATATATATATATATATATATATATATATATATATATATATATATATATATATATATATATATATCTTTAGTATACCTTAAGTAAATGATAATTAAGAGAAACAATTGCTTTTTAATTTGCTTAGTACAAACCTATTTAAAGAAGCCTTATGGGCACCGCTCTTAGACAATTTACAGAAGAGCAATAAGTTATGGAAGTGGTTTGAACGTTTGCGTGTGTTATTTACTGTAGACTCAATCACTGCTGTAGTAGATCTGTTTTTTTTTAAAATATAATTTTTTTACAAAACCTCTATCAATATGCACGAAAACAATTATTTTGGAATAAAAAAATTCGTTGTTTATTGGTCGGATTTTGGGCCCCCAAAATGGCCTGCCCTCCCCAAGCAAGGTAGTTCCGCCCCTGATTAAATAAATTTTCCTGTAAAAGGTGCACACTTGAAACTTGTTTACCTTTTTTTTTTGCCTATCAGAGCGCCAAATTGGCACCAAACAGAAAAGCAGCTAAGCTTGTAGATCCAGAATTGATTAACCTACATGCACGTAAACCATTTATCCTTAGTATATTGCAGGGGAAAAAAATTATGTTTGTGGATTTTCTGGAAAATGCAAATTTTCATGTTTAATTGTCTCTATGACGGATTCAAAATGCGCTCTTAACTTCGATGCTATTGGGTCAGTAGAATGTGTCAAGAAGATAGGGGTCAGTAGGATATATCTCGGGATCAGGGTTCAGGAGAGAATGTCATTGGGGTGGGAGGCCGTATAATATGTCGAGTGGTCAACATTAGAGGGAATTGTAAAGGGTTAGAATCCCCCCCCCCTCCTCCGATGATACTAGAAAAAGACAGCTGACTCCCGCTGAGTTGCAGTTATAGGCCAGATTCTTGAATTAGCTGCCACCGTTAAACTAGATTAGCTCAGTAGTTGTTAACCGTGGACGTAATGAGTTTTATTGATTGTCCAACGTAAGCAGTATTAGACAGGATGAGTAGAGCAGGGTTGCTGTCCACGATTAAGATGGTAGAAGTAGAGGTTGGCGTATCAGATACAGTCCTACAGGACCATATTGTTGTTGAGAACACGGGTAGGTTAGAGGACAAAGTTTCTTTCAGGCATCTCCAGTGTCCTCCCCCCCCCCCCCCCCAAGTTAAGTTGTTAGAGATAGTGAGGGAAAAGGATGATAAGTTGTTAAAGATCAGGAGATTTAAATTAATGTCAGAGCCTTGGAGGAACATGAAATTAAACTACTAGAGATCAGATTTTCTTCGTTGGGGCTCCGCCCCCCCCCCCCGAAAAAAATCTACCGTCCCCCCGAAAATTTCAAGTGCCCCCCCCCTCCCCCGGAAAAAAGTCTGGAAGAAACACTGCTAGAGATTGTGAGAGAACTAAGGCTCGAGGGCACAGGGGGTTGTTTGAATTTCCAGGCTCTGTCTCCTCTTTGTCTCAGGCTAGTGTAGTGGTTTCTAATGATCAGGGGCGTAGGGAGGGGGGTGCGGGGGGTGCGGACCGCACCGGGTGACACCCGACCTCGCTACGCCACTGCCAATGATCGGTATTACGTGGAGATTGTTCGTTAACTGATAGTGTGGGTAGGAAGTTGTGTCAGTCCCAGATAGAGCCCGCCCAGGGGCGTAGCGAGGGGGGGGACACATGTCCCTGGGCGCCGACCTTAGGGGGCGCCAAAATGGGTTGGAAAAATAAATTGAAAGGTTGAGGGGGGTGCAAATCGAAAGTTTGAGGGGGAGTGCAAATCGAAATCTTGAGGGGGGGGGGGGAGTGCAAATCAAAAGTTTGAGGAGGGGGGTGAAAATTAAAATCTTGAGGGGGGGGTGCAAATCGAAAGTTTGTCCCCGGGCGCCGGGAAGGGTCGCTACGCCTCTGAGTCCGCCGCTCACCTTGGCTCACTCCCTGCCTTCGAAACTAACCCAGCACCACCAGCACAATATTGCTTGCCTAAAAATATAGAAGGCAGTCACCAACGTTGTGGTTTGACTGAAAGCACGCCAGCTCCTAAGTGGCAAGAATCCACAGTTGAGGTATTGTAATTTTATCAGTGCATTACAGTGTAAGAAATAGTTGCAAATTGTGTTGTTAACACCTTATGCTTCTTCGTCTTGTTTATGAACCCCCGCTTAGATCAGAAGGACCCAGAAAGAGGGAGGGGGGGGGGGCGTAACTATAATATATATATATATATATATATATATATATATATATATATATATATATATATATATATATATATATATATATATATATATACATATATATATATAAAATTTTAAAATAACTTTGGGTTATACAAAACCTGCACCAATCGATTATTTCTTGGCGTAGCTTTCACATTACTAGATCGATTTCTTGCAAGGTGAAATTGAGAGTGCGACCTCCTTCGCTAATGTATGTCGTTTCTTTTCGAGGAAATTTTTCATGTGACGTAATATTTTTTTTTTTTGGACAGCGGATGGTGTTTTGAGAATTGTGTCGTCCAAAATAACAAGAAGCCATTAATTAATTATCCATAATTATAAACAATCAGAGGCGTAGCGACCCTTCCCGGCGCCCGAGGACAAACATTCGATTTGCACCCCTCCCCCTCGAACTTTTCATTTGCACCCCCCCCCCCCCTTAAACTTTCGATTTGCACCCCCCTCGAACTTTTCATTTGCACCCCTCCCTCAAACTTTCAATTTGGCGCCCCCCCCCCTAAGGTCAGCGCCCAGGGAAAAATGTCCCCCGCCCGGTCCCCCTCGCTACGCCTCTGTAAACGATTACTTTCTCCCTCCCTAATAGCCTGATCTTCCTTCATGTTTCCATGTCCGATAGGCCTACTCGATTAGTACATTTAACAAGGAACAGCAAAGGCATTCTGTCCCGTGTTTCTTTCAAGAATCTCTCGGGGTTAACTCTACTTCACCTGCCTCATGGACCGTAAGGTTTGAAAGGATACTTTACTATCTCTCGGGGAGGGGGGAACTCAAACAAGAAAGAAATGGGGGGGGGGGGTGAGAGTCCATTCTGAGCACCTTTGTGGACAGCCACGACCTTGGACTCAGTTATGTAGGCCTACTATTCATCCATACAAAGATAGACGAACCCAGCTCAGATAATGTCAATGATTTAGTATGTGTAAGGTTTGTTTGAACACAGGAGTGTAAGGATGTATGCTATCTTTGTGCCTGTTCGCTACTTGACCTCGTTCTCGACACCAAACGTACACCGAAACGATAGTGTCTTCCCCTGTCTCCTTGGTGTATCAGTGGATTTGTGTGACGACACTACTACAATTACAAAATATTAAACAAAAACAAATTCATTGGCAATATCATGACGTGTTTAAACGTATTTAAAATATAGCGGTTTCCAAACTTTTTTGACATTATGGTCCCTATTATTTAATTTGTTCAACTTTAGCCTTAACTAGTTTTTATTAGGCCTAGATCTAGATTCTCTAGGTTAAAAACCAATGTTACTTATACTTAGTGTAACAGGCTTATATTCTTTGCACATTCTTTTTTTGTTCGAGTAGGGGGTGGGGGGGGGGGGGGGGGGGAGGGGTGATATGCCTGAGAGAAACACCGTTAAAAGCTATAGTATAAGAATAAGCAGGGTGAAGTTATTTTATTTCCGGCGATGTCGCCCTCCTGTGCTTATATAATAAATTAAAAATCATAGAAAATTCTAAGATTCTAATGTATTCTAAGATGTTATAGGATAACTTGAACAAGTATTTTTCTCATTAAAGCAAATCTAACTAGTTGCTCTAGTGTCACCTTTAGGATGGTGACACGTTGTTCCCAGGACGCCTGCCATGTGACACTACAAAGTAGGCCTATATTTGTAGTTTATAGGCTTATGTCAATATCATATGCACGAACCCTCAGTGGTATTTGTACATTGGCTTCTTTTTCTGATACGCTTCTGCCTGCGGTTTTCTCAGCATAGCTTGGGGCTAAATTATTTAATGTTTACTATAGGCCATAGGCGCAGACTATAGATCTAGTATTTAAGTATAGGCATACTCAGAGGCGTAGCGACCCTTCCCGGCGCCCGGGGACAAACTTTTCGATTTGCACCCCCTCCAGATTTCGATTTGCACCCCCTCCCCCCTCAAACTTTCGATTTGCACCCCCCTCAACCTTTCAATTTATTTTTCAAACCCATTTTGGCGCCCCCCTAAGGTCGGCGCCCGGGGACATATGTCCCCCCCCCTCGCTACGCTACTGGGCATACTAGATTTATAACAGGACGAATTTCCCTTTTTTTCTGCGTCGCTAATTAAAATAGAATTTTTGTTTTTCAGGAAAACACGCTCTTACCAAACAACTACAAATACAGAAATTCTAATGTTGAGCATAAAATACATTCATCGAAATTGCGAATCTAATTCTAAAAGAGTTATTCTTTCCAGGAAAATTTTGCACACGCATGCTAAAAATAATATTTGGGTCATTTATTTTTCAGTGGTTATAAACAAGTCACATGCTGGTTACGCCTTCTTATTTACTGTGTACTTAACTGTACATTGAACACCGGTTTAAGCTGTCTCTTTAGACTTCATTACAAGACTCGGGATTAGTCTTTAATTTATTCTTTACCAATAACATCTGTAACTGGATTCAACACTTTTCGTCTAGCTGTTTACTGTTTAGCTGCTATACAATAGAATTTAGATTTTAGATCTAGTCTAGAGTCTAGACATAGCAATTTATTAACATTTAACAAACATGGAAAAACTTTTTGAGTAAGTCCAAAAACTAAAAAAAAAAGTATTTTATAAATTTAGGCAGTTAGGTTAAATTTTAATATTTTAGTTTGAAGTTTTAGATCTAGAATCTTGATCTAGTATAGGCCTACTTACTATTAATTAGTAATTAGGCCTAGATTCTATATGTATAGAATAGACTAGTAGCCTATAGTATAGACTAGTATAGAGTAGTAAGTAATAAAGTATAGTTTAGCTTTAGTAACCCTATCTAATAGTACTAGAATCTATAATACTATAGATCTAGATAAAGTTATGAGTTATAGAGTTTGGAGTGAGCCTTTTTTATTATTATTAATTTCAATAATTTTAGACTTGCATGTAGACCTAGTACAAATAGAAGTAGATCTAGATTCTAGATACAACTAATTTTATAAGCCTACTTAAAATGGTTAAATAATAAGTAGACCTAAAAGTAGAAAGTAAACAACAAAAAGTAGGCCTAATCTATGTAAAATCTTTATAAGAACAAGCTTTTAAAATCAATAAAAAAAAGAACCTAGATTTGTTTCTTTGGATACAATCGTCTTCTTCTTCGTTCTTAATTATTAGTGTTGAAGGGGATCGAGATTTATCTGCCAGTGGGTTTGAACTCGAGACTTTGTTCGAATGTATCAACCATGAGCTTTTTGCCGACTCGACCACGCCTCCAACACAATTAAGCGTTACGTGTCAACTGGTTATGCGCCATTGAGGCCATTGACTCCAATTTCAGCCTGCTTTTCTTTTTGGATTTGCTTCCATAGCCTTTGTCCAACCAAGAACAAACTACAAGGCAGCAGTTGTTTAATTTTGGAGTTGTCTCTCCTAGAAGAGTGGCTGTCCCCAGCTAACGAGCCTCATCTGCCCGAGGGTTCGAACTCGGGACTTTTCGGTTTAGCAACCATGAGCTTTACCGACTCGACCACGTTGACCCCTTTTACAATAGTAAAAGTGCATAATTTTAGTTTTAATTGAATTCTGTATCATACAGGCATATTGACTCCCAGGAAAGAAAATATGTTGATCGACTAGCTGAGGCTGTTGCTATTCAAAGTGTTTCTGCATGGCCAGAAAAACGCCCAGAAATTAAACGCATGGTGGAATGGGCGGGAGAAGTAAGTATCAACTAATTAAAAAAACCTAAGCTCATCATATAATTTTGATCATTGCTAATTATTGTTTGATTTTGAACAGCATATCACAAAGCTGGGTGGTAAAGTAGAGTATGCTGCATTGGGACAACAAAAGTTGCCTGATGGGAGTTCCATTGAACTTCCTCCAGTTCTTCTAGGAACCTTGGGTACAGATGAAAAGAAAAAGACGCTTTTGGTATATGGGCACTTGGATGTTCAACCAGCAGAGATGGTAAATAACTTTAGTTTGTTACATTACAAGTTTTAGTCTGATTAACCTCCAACCCACTTCATCACTAGAAGCTAGACTGCAGAGTCTGATTTTGTTCCTTTCCAACCCCACCCCCACCCAAATAAACATTAAAATTAATTAATGCCACTAGACATCTCTTGTCACATTAAAAATGGCATTGTGACAGGTGCTGTTTATGATTACATAAACATTTTCACATCCATCACTTTTAACAGAAATAAAATTTTTCCTACTTTAGTCAAGAAATTAAAGATGCTAGGAAAATCATGGCTAATTGTTAAATCATTTATTTTTAGTCTGATGGCTGGGATACGGATCCATTTGTCCTTACAGAAAAAGACGGGAAATTGTACGGCAGAGGATCAACAGATGACAAAGTAATTTGATTTATTACCAATAATTTTCTTATTTTCTTAGTATTTTGAAAATATGTATTTTTAAAAAATTGTGTAATTAATTAATTCTTGTAACCAATATGTGTATTGCACTAGGGATCTAAACCAGAGGCGTAGCGACCCTTCCTGGCGCCTGGGTACAAACTTTCAATTTGGTTATATCCCCCCCCCCCCCATATATTTTTTATATTTAACATGCAAAACTGCAGCTAAAATCAGCTTTTAATTTTTATTTTCCAACCCATTTTGGTGCTCCCTAAAGTCGACCTCCCCCGCTATGCCTCTGGTCTAAACTAATTATTGGCATGTTTAGGAGTTTAAAAAAAAGAAACTTTAGAGAAATTGATTTGATTGTATCAATAATTGTTATCCTTTTTTTAACAGGGTCCAGTTATTGGCTGGCTAAATGTTATTGAAGCAATGCAGGAACTTAAAATGGACATACCAGTCAATTTTAAGGTAACTTTTACTTTTTTAAATTGAAAAATTGGACCTTTATTTTTTGCTGAAGAAAGGCTACTTGATTATAAATACCGGTAAATAATAAAAGGTAGAGATAAGTACTTTCATAATTATCATCTTTTCACTTTTGTGCCCAAGATACATGTGGCAGATGAAGTAGAGTTTATTTGTTTTAAATGACTCATGATGCATAGTGTTTTGTTTGTTTCAGTTTGTCTTAGAAGGGATGGAAGAATCAGGATCAGAAGGTTTGGATGATCTAATTTTCAAAGAAAAAGACAGTTTTCTCCAGGTTTCAACTTTTTTATAAATAATTGTTTTCTGTCTAAATTATTAATTATTTCTTTTTCATCTTTATTGAGTAAACATGAACGGCAAAGTTATTAATTTATATTTTTGTATAATTTTTTAAAAGTCTTTTGTTAAATTTTTAATGTCTGTTATCAGTAATGTTTTTCATCTGTGTTGTAAATTTTAATTTTTAGAATGTGGATTATGTTTGCATATCTGATAACTACTGGCTAGGAAAGAAGAAGCCTTGCATAACATATGGTTTGAGGTAGGAATTTATGGATACATTTTTTGGAATAGTCTTACATTTTTTTGTCAGATAAGATGTAACATTGAAATTTTTTCTTTATGTTTTTAGCTACTTAAAATGTATATGCCCAGCTTTTTAAATGTTATTTAATTTCCAATAGTTTTTTAATTTGAACTTTTTAATGAAAATTGCTTTTTAATGTAATACATAATATTATATTTAAAAAAATTTCTTTTGCAGAGGTATCTGTTACTTCTTTATAGAAGTTGAATGTGCATCCAAAGATTTGCATTCTGGAATATTTGGTGGCACAGTGTAAGTAGTTTCCCTTGCTTCTTAAAAAAAATTCCTATATTGATGCCAAAATCCAATGTTATAAGTTTTATGTTTAAAATGTTCTGTTTAATTTGTCTTTTATTTACTTTTTGTAGTAAACTCTATAATCCTGTTTCTCATCTCCTCTCCTAGATACGAAGCCATGAATGATCTTGTTGCTCTGATGTCTTCCTTGACTGACGTGGACCACAAGATCCTCATCCCTAACATTTATGATGATGTTGAGAAATTGACTGAAGAAGAACTTAAAACTTATGGTCCAATTGATTTTGATCATGTAATTATTAACCTTTCACCACGCTCCTTATCCTTTTGCAGCTAACTTTTTTTTACTTTAAAATTATTCTTTTAAAACTGCCAAAAGGGGAGGTAATATATACGTGATTAAAATATTACATTTTTAGCGTTACCTCTCTTTGCACGACTGAAGAAAATGTTTTTTTTTTCAAGTTATTTTTTTTCTTAATACAGCTGGTAACTTGACATACGAGATTTTGAAATATGAGCTGTCGAACAAGCTAAAATTTCCTATGATATACGTGAACAATTTGAGATCCGAGTAACAGAAATAGTGGTTTTAACAGTTCATGGAAAAATAACACCTTGAAAAATTTGCAACGGATTTTGCATTGAAGCCAGATACCTAACTCATTTCCAAACATTCTGAAAGGGTGGAAAAAGGGTGGAAAAAATAAATCTTGGACATGTTTATTTTAACGGTCTGCGTGGAAATGTGAAGAAAGCTTGGCTAAAGAACAAAGACCAGTAAAGAGAAAAATAGTTATGAAAATAAAGCAAAAGTAACTGAACATTATATAGTAACATTTAGCTTCAATTATGTTCGGAGAAGTTTAAGTTACGTTTAGTTTAGGGATCAAATGAAGCGTTAAGAGTGTAACGAGTAAGGGAAATTAAAGTGACAGAATGAGATTAGCATTCACAATGAGTAAGTTAACAAAGTTATGCTCCTACGCCTATCTGGCTTATTTTCAAGGTGAATACACTTTTAAAAAAAAATAATTTATTTCTTTGAATTATCCTATATTATGTTAATACAACAAACTTTGTCATCTTAAAACACTTTTTTACTAAAAAAAACCTATCTTTGATAACAAGTGGGTGGCGAAATGGGGGCTGGAACGAATTAATGACATATTAATTAATTAAAATGGAGAAAACTGCTTTGAGATATGAGCAATGTTATGGAATGAATAAAACTCATATTTCGAGGTACCACTGTTTTTTTTAAAACTAAACTGTGTTTAATTAAATATATGTTTGTTTAAAATTTCAATAGGAAGATTACAGAGCAGATATTGGGGCTAAAAAGCTAATAAAATCTGAGAAACATGAGGTGCTGATGGCAAGATGGAGGAATCCATCTCTATCTCTTCATGGTCAGTAGCTAACTGTAGTTTTGTGTTGCCTGTAAAAATGTGTACTGCTCAAAGTAAGTTTTGAGATAGATACCTAACTCCTTTGTCACAATTTTGTATTGAATAAACAAAGCTAGAGTGGCATAGAGGTTGATCATTAAGCTGCTAATCTGAATGTCTCGAGTTCAAATTCCGGTTCAAGTAAAGGCGACTGGGTATAGTGCTGACCACACTGTTGCTTCTTGAGCTGAGGTCACAGAAACAGGTGAACTCTACTTCACATCAAGTTCAAAAATGGAACTTTTACTTAAACAAATCTGCAGCTTATAACATCTGTATGGGAAACCATTTCAAAACATAAAAAAATGAGGAAAATGTTTTGTTTATATATTTCAACAGGTATTGAAGGTGCCTTCAGTGGGGCTGGATGCAAAACAGTGATTCCTCGCAAAGTTATCGGCAAATTCTCTATTCGCATCGTACCTCATCAGAAACCAGATCAAATTGAGCAACTGGTCAGGACTCACATTGAACAAGTCCACAAAAACCGGGGCAGCCCTAACCAAGTTAAGTAAGTTTGCTGTGTTGTTTTAAAATAAATTTCTATGTTTTCTCTAAAAATCTAATTTAAATTAATATTTTTCTCAAATACAGTAGGCCTATATGTATTAAATATCAATAAAATGTTGTAACTTAATTTCTTTATTAAATAACGTGTAGTATTTTTTCTTAACCATGACACTAGGCTGGGCGTAACTCACGAAAATATAAAATAAATCGAACATGCTGTCTTTTACTAAAGACAGCAAGTTTGATTTATATTATATTTTCAATGCATTTTAAAGCTGATTATTATAAACGTACTTACACTTTAGTAATGTAATAATGAGTGAATTCCTATTTTTTAGAGTTGCCATGGAGCATGGTGGAAAACCATGGGTGAGTGATGTCAATGACCCCAATTATGTCGCAGCCAGGAAAGCCATTAAAACTGGTAAGCTATTTTAAAATTTTGCTATGGCACAACACTAAATTTTAAATAGTTTTATTCCCATTTTCATTTGTAAGTTCTGTACAATAAAACAAAATATATATATAAAAAATAACCTATTTGAAAACATGTATACTAATCTAAGTTTGAATAATTGTTTTTGCATGCAACAGAAATTCAATTCCTGATTTTTAAACTTTATTAAGAGCTTAACCCACATTCTGATAGACAGTTTTTAAATAGTTGAGTCTTCTGCCTCTCTCAGTGTATGGTGTGGAGCCTGATCTCACCCGCGAAGGTGGTAGCATTCCCGTGACCCTGACCTTCCAAGAAGCCACAGGTAAAAATGTGCTGCTCCTACCCATGGGTTCCAGTGATGATGGCGCCCACTCACAGAATGAAAAACTTAACAGGACCAACTACATCCAAGGGGTGAGTCACCCTGGAAATTTAAAGTTCTGTTTTAATTGTGAAAGAACCAGAAAGAATAACATTTTAATACTGTTAGGCTTAATTTATTTTTATTTTTGTATTGTAGATGATTTTCAAATTTTTTTTTTATTTTTACACCACCTCTTGACTTAAACAATTTATATTTGTGATGGTTCAATATAAAAGAAAACAACAAATTGATCATACGTTTTTGCAATTAGTAAATCAAAATCTTATGCTAAATATTTACAAGAATTAACCATTCTGACAAAATGATTTCTGCTAGATAATAAATGTCACCAGTCTATGTTTAATACTCAGAAAATGCTATAGAAATGGCAACCTGCATTTGAATTTAAATTTTAGATGGTGCACTTTAAATGCTCATTATGAAAAATATCTAATTTTTAAAATGAAAATTTATGTCATGTGTAATGTGGTTTTCAGATCAAAATGTTTGGAGCCTACATTCAAGAGCTGGCCAATTTGTCTGCATAAAAATTACAAAGTTACATTCCTACAAAACAAATACTGCTGACAAGAATTCTAAAAAGTTGAAGTAGTGACATATTTTGTTTCTTATCTTTTTATTTAAAAACTTATCAGATATTTACTTTTGAATGTTATATAGAGTAACAGTTTTAAAAAAATTCTAGTGTAATAACAAATTAGATGAAATAATTTATTTTTGCTAAACTATTTGAAATTGTTATCTGTTTAAAATGCTTATTTTGATGAATTTTAAATTATCAAACTGCCTGTAAACTTATGAGTAGATATTTTAAAAGTTTTTTTACTTGTTAATAGTTCTTTTTTTTGGCGATTGTGTTTGTGATTACAAAAAGGACATAAAGTTTGAATTACATTGTTTTCTATACGGGAATTGTTTGTTGAATAATTCTTTATAATTAAGAGAAAAATATGAAAAAAATCAGATCTTAACTTTTATTATGTTCACATGTAATCATGGATTATGTTGTATTATTTAATTAATATCACCATAAGCTTGTTTTAATGAAATGCATAACACTCAATAAAAATGTTGACTGAGTTTTTTCCCCTACATTAAATCCAGTATTAAAGCCTCTTGTCTCTTGTTTGAAAGGCAATGCATTAACTCATTATACACCATGGATTATATCTCTTGAAATTGATTTCATATTTTAAATAAATTACAATTTTAACCCTCTAATGGCCAATATAGTTTAAAGAAGGGAGGTAATTTTTCTTGAACTTTTCATCAATTTTCAAATTTTTTTTTATTTCTTAGTGTTGAGTTTAGGTGTTGGGCAATACTGAATTAATTAAAAGATCATTAGCAGAGGAGATATTCTTTTGAGTCTTGGTGTTTGCTCTGAAAGTTGTGTCCAGTTTGTTGCATTGTGGATTGTCTTTTCTTGTCTGATATTTAATGTATGCATGACTTGCAATTTCACGATTACTATCATAGCTATTTAATTAGTATTTTATTGAATTAAAAGTCTTTATTTTTAAATTAAAACTTTTTTTAAAAAAATACTTGTTTTATTCTTTCTGTGATGAAGTTATGAAGGGTCAGTTTTTTAAATAGATTTTTTCATGTTTAAACTATTCAACTAATTATTAATTAGATGCAAATTTAATGGAGGTACAATGTTGACTTCAGCTCTAATGGCTGCTCAAGGGAGTAAAAAAGTAAGTTTCCCTTTCAAACCTGACGGTCTATGGGGCAAGTGAAGTAGAGTTCACTTGTTTCTGTGACATCGGTATATGACCTATAGTGTGGTCAGCACTATGCCCAGCCGCCTCAGGGACGGTCTACTGACTTGAACCCGGATTCGAACTCGAGATTTATGGGTAAGTAGTCCAGCTCTCTACCGCTAGACCACTCCGTCCCATGCTCACGGGAGAATCAGAGTTTACCTATGGCAGTCAACGTTTTCAGCCTCTTTGTCCTCTGTTGGATCCCGAGTAAGTTGAGGTCATCGTCAACCTCTATCTGCTGCCCTCTATGTTCACTGCAACCAGGGTAGTGACTGTACCTCAGTTCTGGACATCATGTAGGAGAGTAGGATGGAGTTTTGGGTGGGGAGACTATACATATATATTAAGGTCAAAATTGTAATCAAACAGTGTTTCTTCCAGACTTTTAAACTCTGGGGGGGGGGGGGGGGGGGGGGGACGGACAAAATTTTCCGGGGAGCAGTTTTTTCTCACTTGCACACACATTTTGTAAACATCATCACCAGATGCTATGGCGACAACAGGCTGACTTGTTATTGACGTGTAGCCAGAGTAAATTTTAGTCAGATTACCGGAGTAATATATATATATATATATATATATATATATATATATATATATATATATATATATATATATATATATATATATATATATATATACTTTATATTTTAAGGGAACAATTGTAGTAAGTTTAAATGTTTTCCAATTGTTTCTATTGCCGAATCTGATTGAGACTAAAGGTCAGAACGCCATGCTTTTGTGCTTTGGTTTACATTCTGAGTATGTTTACATTAAACCCGAAGATGGCATCCCTGTTTTTTAGCGCAATTTCCATACTGGGGGATTGCGATTATTAACTCGTCATTTCTGGATGGATGGATGGATGGATGGATGGATGGATGGATGGATGGATGGATGTGTGTCCGCAGCGTGTCCGCAGCTTTAAGTCGTATCTCCTCCTTAACGAAGCAATATCGAGGACTAATTCCAAAGCAAATATGTTAAGCAAGTTCCGAGGATGATTGTGGGCCAAAAAAATTCCCGGAATTCCTTCCTGGATTTCCCGGAAAAGCCAAAAAACCTCGGAAAAAAGTGCAGTTTTTGGCCCATATCTCGGCAACCAGACCACTTAGCGACTTGAAACATTTACCAATAGATTCCTGCCATAATTTAGAACAATATTGCCGAAGAAAGTTTTCAAAAATATCATTTCGTTCGGTCACAAAAAATTAATTTCTTCTAATTTGTATTGGCTAAGATTACTAAGAATATACAAATATTTCTACCACCCTCATCCCTTCGCGTCTCACCACTAGAAGAAGCGAAGCGGTGAAGTTCCAAACCAAGCACAACGGCTCAGGCAGTCGCTAGTGAGAGGTAACGTCTACTTGTTTAAACTGAGCATCTTGTAGGCCTACTCGTTAAAATAAAACTATTTCCGTTGATATAGGTTAATATAGTTGTCTTTTTTTTTACTTATTAATTCAAACGTTATTTTTGTACCCTATTAATTTATTTATAATTTAAAAAATTAATTAAGGAAATTGCGCTTAAATTGTCACTAGACTTTTTATTAACTTGTTTTTCTTCAAATGAACGATAATTTATGCAGTGTCTTGCTGGAATTCGCAGTTTCCTATTATATCCCGACCCTCAACCCATCAAAGTAGCCCCCTCAATCCCAGTGATGTCACTGCCTTTCACAAGGATAAAATAAACATGCGTCAGACGCCATTGGTAATAGAAGGTTTGGGCGAGGGGGGGGGGATTCAGTAGCTTCATAAGGGGAGGGGCGGTCTGCTCTGGATGAATCCATTGAGGGAGTGACACAAAATCGAAAAGTCGTAGAATTTACTTTTTCATTCTGTTAAAATGAGAAGGGTGACACCGAGCCTAAAATACAAAATTGTTGGAGGGCGTGTGTGTAAAATTAACAAAAAAAATGTTGTACTTCATTTTTGGACGACCGTTAATCGAACCGCTTGTTTTGCTAATCAGATAATGGCGAGGAATTTCTATTTTTTTATTGCTATATAATATAGGCCTATTAGATTCTAAATCTACATAGATCTAGCGTATGAATTTCGAAATTTTCATTTTAATTTGACTTCGGTCAGACTAACCAAAGATTTGAATGTATTTATTAAACAAGATCAGCGTAGATTGGCATAGAGATACTATTTATCTAATTTTTTTTCTCTCATTTACTCATCAAATAAGCGCATGTCGAAATCATTTAATCAAAAGAACATTCCTTCTGCGTTTATTTACTCGCATTCTTGCAATATTATTGCAGCACCGTAAATAAATGCCTACAGCACTCACAACAGCAACATAATTCCCACACGTTCATCCCTCGCAATAATCAACCCAGCCACACCATTCGTTTTTTCTCGACGGAAGTCCGATCCGATTGACGTCATCAATACTTGTTGCCTTTGTACACAAATTGCCGCGTTCGACGTCACATCAAATGACCGAATTCTCCCTTAAACAAACGAAAAACGGGACAAATAAATGGTTAAATCAACAGAAAGCCAGGCATAGGAGGAGAGATATGCCTGGGCAGCATTGTACGGGCATAAAATTAATTGTTGACGCAAGGGGAAGATAAATCTGCCTGGCGCGACGGCTTTTAACGAACGGCGATTTAATAACTAGTTGTAAATTACACACGGATGGATTAAGACAAGGCTTAATTGGATTAGGGTTGTTCGGACACACCGTCCCATGTTTCATAGCAGCCGCCGATTGTTATTAAGTTTACCACAGGATTAAGCGGAGAATGGAGGGGAGAAAATATTGGAAGGAAGAAATCCATCCCATAATTTTTATATATGTACGTGAATGTGAGTCTCACGCAAGTAAACACACGCATACGCAGGCCTTACATTTCACTCAGGGCAAACACATACACAGTCATACAATCGGATTCTACATGTATTGAAGCACGCACGCACGTACATTCACTCACTCACTCACGACACGACACACACACAAGCACACACACAAGTACACACACACACACACAGGCCCAATACTCACATTCATGAAGATATTGATTGTCACATATTAACATAAAAGATATCACAGATAAGATTTTATAACCCTAAACTTCACTGTTAGCTTGGAGTGTAGAGTTCCGCGTTATTGAATAGGTTAGAGCCACGAATGGCCTTGTATCATGCTGGACAGAGGCGTAGGCAAGGGGGGGGGGTTATGGGGGGGTTATAACCCCTCCCATTGACCCCGACCACTATATATATATATATATATATATATATATATATATATATATATATATATATATATATACGGATGGAAACATTTTTGAACCCCTCCCATGACCAATTCCTGGCTACGCCACTGATGCTGGACTAGTATTATAATTCATTACGGGAACTAATAGCTTTACCAATGTAAGATGTCGATAAGATGTGAATACTTTTTTTTGTTATTCTCAAATGTAAACATTTTCATCAACACAACATTTAAAAAAAAAACGTTTATTATAACAAGTTTTAAATAATATGCACTAAAAAGAAGAAGAAAAAAGTGATTTAAAAAAGAATAATTTACCGTTATTTAAATAAAACAATAATGAAAAGCGTGGGTTGCCGCATTGGGTTTTGAAGGCCGTCTTAAAATAAATATCTATTGTGTAGCGATAAAAAAACAGAATTATAAGCCCATTCCCCAAGAACTCTGACCACGAAAAAAAATATGTGACGGTATGGGCGTAAAAAATGTTAAATGTATTTTCAACACAATTTCAAAAAGGGCTTATCAAGGTGAGTTTTTGTTCCATAGTAAATTTTGATCAACCTCGTGAATTAAACGTAGTTGATGACGCGATAAGCAGGACCTACGCACTCACACCTCCTACGCATTTCAGGTTAAAATAGTTCCAATGTCAAATATTTTTTTTCTGTCTGTAAGATGTTACTTTTGTAATCAGACGAGAGTTAATGAACACGACGTCTGTCGACGGTCGCTGCCGAGTCTATTTTTAACCTTAAGCTCTTCATCTTTGTCGTGTAGTGTTTTGATTGGCTGGTGTCTTTAGGTGTGGTTTTTTCCCCCCTGGTCAATAGCCGATCTGATTTCTGATGTAGCGCTGTCAAAACAGAAAGAAAAAGATTTACGAGGAGATCAAAGAGGCGCCGAATTAACTTCTGCGCAGACCGTGGCCCCGGCGTTGTTTTTGGTTTTTACATGAATTATAAGCGGCGCCATTTTGTGGAGTTTTTCCGATCAACATTTTCACATTCGTCATCGTTGTCTTAATTTATGTTCTATAGCGCCGTGGGGTTGTAACAAAGTTCAGCCACTCCTGTTCGTCTTTGGTCATAGTTCTCTTCTCGACTCAAAGTTTGGTCAGGTGTCTTCGTTTCCTGCTTTACAGTTCGACATCAGGTGGTATTTCATTGCCAGGTAGACTGATTGTCAGGTAGTCTTTCATGGCCAGGCAGAGGCGTAGCGACCCTTCCCGGCGCCCGGGGACATAATTTCAATTTGGCGCCCCCCTCGGGAGCAAATTTTCGATTTGCACCCCCCCCCCCCTCGAACTTTTCATTTGCACCCCCCTTCAAACTTTCGATTTGCACCCCCCCTCGAACTTTTCATTTGCACCCCCTCGAACTTTTCATTTGCACCCCCCTGTCAAACTTTCAATTTGGCGCCCCCCCTAAGGTCGGCGCCCGGGGACATATGTCCCCCCCCGCCCCCCTCGCTACGCCTCTGTGGCCAGGTAGTCTTTGATTGTCAGGTAGTTTTTGAT